GAGAAGAACGGTAATAAGTACAAAGGCTCAGAGGTTCCTTTACCACATAAAAGTTGTAAGAGTTGAGTCTTAGCCTTTGACTTTTTTTGGTGAATTTTTATGTTGGTTTACTTTTAAACTTATAAAAAAGTTACAAATATAGTACCAGGGGTCTGATATACTCTTTACCAAGACTCAGCAATTATTTACATTTCATCCCATTTGCTTTATTACCCTCTCTCCTCCATATGCGTATGTAAATGTAGTGTGTGTGTGTGTGTGTGTGTGTGTGTGTGTATGTATGTATGTAAAATCCATTCCCATTTTGGGGGAGGTCCATTTGAGAGTAAATTTAGATATTGTGCCTTTTATCCATGAATACTTGAATGTGTACTTCCTATGAACAACTACTTTCCTCTCCTTTAACATAAGCCCAGTAGTTAATCAAAACAAAGAAATTATATTAGGTTGGTGCAAAAGTAATTGCAATTTTTGCATTACTTTCAACGGCAAAAACCACAGTTACTTTTCGACCAACCTAATAGATACAATATTATTATCTAATCCACAGTGTATGTTCAGATTTTATCACCAGTTACAATAATATGCTGTATAACTATGTCCCCACCCCTCCATCCAGGGTCCGTTCTAGGATCATGTGTAGGATTTAGGTGTTAACACCTATTTGGTTTTCTTTAATCTGACACATTTCCTCAGTCTTTGTGTTTCTGATATATTTAAAGAATGTACAGGCCAATTATTTTGTAGAAAATCTCGAAGTTTGAGTTTTTCTGGAATTTCCCCAGGATTAGATTCAGGTTGTGCATTTTTGGCAGGTATACCCCTGATATTATATCTTCTCGGTTCACCATATGATATATATAATATTGCTTTCTCTCAAAACTGGTAATGTTAGCTTTGGTCACTTGATTAAGGTGATGTCTGCCAGATTTTACTACTGTAAAGTTATTTCCCCTTTTGTAATAGGTAATTTGTGGCAGGCTACTTTGAGATTATCTAGTAACCTCTTTCTTTTTTTTTTTTTTTAATTTTTTGAGACGGAGTCTCGCTCTGTCGCCCAGGCTGAAGTGCAGCAGTGCGATCTCGGCTCACGGCAAGCTCCACCTCCCAGGTTCACACCATTCTCCTGCCTCAGCCTCCCGAGTAGCTGGGACTACAGGTGCCCACCACCATGCCCGGCTGATGTTTTGTATCTTTAGTAGAGATGGGGTTTCACTGTGTTAGCCAGGATGGTCTCGATCTCCTGACCTCATGATCCGCCCGCTTCACCTCCGAAAGTGCTGGGATTACAGGCGTGAGCCACCGCGCCTGGCCGTAGTAACCTCTTTCTTTACCAAACTTTACCATACCAGTTTTATATCCATTTGTGATTTTCCTACACTCCCTCGTTCTTCATTTATTAATCAGCATTCTACTGTAAGGAAGAGCTTTCCCTTCACCCTCATTTATTTATTCATTTATTTACATCAGTGTGAATTCATGAATTATTTTATTCAGTGAGCTATAATCCATTACTATTAAATTGTCCCTGCTTTGTCCAGTGGGAACCCTTGCAAGCTGGGTGCATTGTTTTTTGGATATTTTTCCCTTTATTCTTTGGGAATTTCATTTCTTTAGGGCAACAAAATGTTCCAGGTTCCACTTATACCTGCTTGGCTCCTGCGCATTAATGAGCTGTTTCTCCAGAGAGCTTTGATTACTTTTTTGTAAGCGTTTGAAATTTAGTCTGAAGGTAATGAGTAACCATGGACACTCTGGGTGTGGCATGATCCAAATCAACATTTTAAGAAAAGATCCCTCTGTTAATAGTGAATAGAAAACATTGAGTTATGAAACTGGCCATAGAAAGAACAATTATGAGTATTTTCTAGTGATTTAGACAAACTATAATGCGGGTCAAAAAGCACTGTCAGTGAAGGGGGAACAAATAACTTTACACTGGAGAAACCTGATATGTACTGCTTCAGCCAGGTGATCAAGGTCAACATCAGTAGTGATGTTCTGTTGATAGTTTGTACCCTTAGTATGAGGTAATGAAAATGGCATTTACTTCTGTGGTCTTCCTCCTGAAAACCCAATAATCCCAGTATAATCATGAGAAAAACATGAGACAAATCCCATTTGAAGGACATAATGGTCCCATTTGAAGATCACATAATGATAACTACTAAATACCTGACCAGTACTCCTCAAAACTGTCAAGGTTCTCCTCAAAACTGTCATGGGCTTTAGGTAACAGCAATATGTTAATATTGGTTTGTTATTTTTTTTTTTTTTTGAGACGGAGTCTCGCTCTGTCGCCTGGGCTGGAATGTACCATACTACTGTAACATATTAATAATAGGGGAAACTGGGATGGGATACATGGAATATCTGTACTATCTTCACAGTCTTTTTGTAAACAATACTTTTTTTAAAAAATTAAGTTTATTAAAAAACACTATCAGTGGAGTGGAATAAGTAGGGTTTATTTTTAGGTGTGTAAATGAGTGATGTTTTTACATAATGCGTCATGATAACTACTTCAGAGTAGTCATTTGTGAAGGCTATAAACTTAATAGTGCAGCTGTTCAAAATGTTTTGCAGCTCTTTGGAGTCTTTAATAAATTCTTTCCGCTATCTTATAGTCTTTTAAGACAGTGGTCTCCAGCCTTTTTGGCACTAGGGACTGCTTTCATGGAAAACCATTTATCCACTTATGGAGGCTGCAGGTATGGCTTCAGGTTGAAACTGTTCCACCTCACGTCAGATCATCAGCCATGAGATTCTCATAAGGAGCGCACAACCTAGATCCCCAGCATGCACAATTCACAATAGGGTTTGCACTCCTATGAGAATCTAATGCTGCCACTGATCTGACAGGAGGCAGAGCTCAGGCAATGATGTTCACTTGCCTGCCGTCCACCTACTGCTATGTGACCCAGTTCCTAACAGGCCACAGACTGGTATTGGTCCACTGCCCAAGGGTTGTGGACCCCTGTTTTAAGATACAGTTTAGTGAGAGACAGAGTAATGTAGCAGTCAAAGCTGTGACCATACAGAAGTTTCTCAAGCTTTCTAAACCTCAGAGTGGGTATAACAACTTATATTAAAAAGTTGTTGTGAGCTAAATGAGATAAGTAATAGATTTCTGTCCTTTGAGGGAGAATTTTATTTTTGAAAGCAGCTATAAGTTATTTGGAGCCTAGTCTGGTTTACATTTGAAGTAAACTTGGTATTAATATTTTTTGTCAAGAGCAAGATAAAAAATTTGGTGGTACTAATTTTTGTGTGGCCTATACATTTTTATAAAGGTAATTTTAGACTTACAGTAGAATTGCATATCATGCTTACTCTCCTCCAATCAGTGACAGATCACAGAGGTGATATGCCCTTTTCAGTACATCTTTTTTTTTTAATGGTTTATCACTTTGGGGGGATTGGGGGGAAGGGTCCCGCTCTGTTTCCCAGGCTGGAGTGCAGTGGCTTGATCACTGCTCACTGCAACCTTGACCTCCCCGGCTCAAGCAATCCTCCCACCTCAGCTTCTGAGTACCTGCAACTACAGGCATGTACCCACTGCACCTGGCTAATTTTTGTATTTTTTGTAGAGACTGGGTTTCACCATGTTGCCCAGGCTGGTCTTGAACTCCAGGCCTGAAGCAGTTGGCCCACTTGGGCCCCCCAAAGTGCTGGGATTAGAGTCATGATCCACTGTGCCCAGTGTCATGTTTTAAATTATTTTTATTTTTAAATAATTTTGACCTTTATTTTAAATTCAGGGGGTACATGCACATATTTATTTCATGGGCATATTGCATGATGCTGAGGTTTGATATATGAATGATCCCATCACCCAGATAGCAAGCATAGTACCCAACGGTTAGTTTTTCAGCCCTTGTCCTCCTCCCTCCCTTCCCCTTCTATTAGTCCTCAGTGTCTGTTGTTCCTATCTTTATGTCCCTGAGTACCCAGTGTTTAGCTCCTAGTTGTGAGGGAGAACATGGGTTTTGGTTTTCTGTTCCTGTGTTAATTCACTTAACTCAGTACATCTTAACAGGGATGCATGATGTCAGTATGTATTACTGGTGATGGTAACTTTAGTCAGTTCAGGTGCAGTCTTCTAGGATTCTGTACTATAAATTTAGTATTTTCCTTTAACACGAAATATTTTAGGAGTAATAATTTGAGACTATGCTTAAAACTTGCACCCACTAACTTTAGCATCCATGACTGTTTCCTCCCGCAGTGGTTATTACTGTGGAATTCTAAAGGTGATTTTTATCTTTACCTTGTTCCTCCTATGTCTATTAATTGAAATTCTTCTGTAAGGAAGAGTTGTCCTCTTTCCCTCATTAAAGTTTTTAAAGTCACTTTGGGAGGCCGAGACGGGCAGATCACGAGGTCAGATTGAGACCATCCTGGCTAACACGGTGAAACCCCGTCTCTACTAAAAAAATACAAAAAAACTAGCCAGACGAGGTGTCAAGCGCCTGTAGTCCCAGCTACTCGGGAGGCTGAGGCAGGAGAATGGCGTAAACCTGGGAGGTGGAACTTGCAGTGAGCCAAGATCTGGCCACTGCACTCAAGCCTGGGAGACAGAGCGAGACTCCGTCTCAAAAAAAAAAAAAAAAAAAAGTCCATGTTGGTACCAGGATTTTTAAGTTAAGACCCAGTTGAACCTACAGGTGTGTTTTAATTTGAGGAAAAAGAATAGATGCTTCATTTGTAAGTTTAGAGCTGAATAGAATCGTAAACTCAGTTGTATTTTGTGATTTATACATTTCACTTTCTAAATTTTCTTTTTGTGTGATTTTTATTTTTGTCATTTGTAAAGTGAGTTTTTAATAAGAACTCATGAAGCTGCATGATTTTTCTCACATCAAATATCTCCAAGTTACAAGCTAGAGGAAACTAAATAAATTGTATTTTATGTTCATATGTATTTTTAAATTTTGTAATTTAATAACTACTTTTGAATGAAAACATTACCTTTAACTCTTTTTTTTTTCCTTTCTTAGGCTTGAAAAGGAATACACTACAATAAAAACGAAAGAAATGGAAGAGCAAGTTGAAATTAAAGTAAGCATTTTGGGGCTTTTTAAAGTACTGATTGATTGAAATCAATTATTAGACAGTAGATGTTTAAAGTTTATACTTCTTATATTCATAAATGTGTTTACCATCATACTAGATTATAGTTAAAAATAGACATTTCAAAAAAGTAGAATAATGTGACTGAAGTGGCTTTCATTCCAGTGTGAAGGAGAGCAAGCTTTTCCCTTTTTCTAGATTTGTTGGTGGCTCATCAGGAGAAAACACTTCCATGGAGAAGATAATTATCATTCCATTTAAGCATGTTTTTTAAAGTTGCAGAGAAGACAATCTGTAATAACACTTTCTGTGCTGAGACCAGCAAGAGTATAATCTTAGGCAAACATTAAATAGAGCACATATTACACTAGAACTAATTGTGGTTGCTCTGGAGCTACAGAAGCTTTGACTGATTTGACTTTTTCTTCTCTAAGCAAGGGTTATACTTTTGAACTACTTCTCTCCAGAAAATCAAGGAGATTTTCAATTCAAAGGGCATGTGAATACCCTATATGTATCCTAAAAATATAGAATTTGTTCCCTCCTGCCCCCATAAACCAAGGAATTCTTGAGTTGAGGGTCTGTGGCACTCTTGGAGCTGGGACTTGAGAAAAATTGTGTTGCCTTTTATGCTAATATTGTAGGATGGGGATGGTAAGTGGAAGCATGAGTCAAAGAGCTTAGTGATTGGCCAATTCAATTTCTAATCTCTTTATTCTCTTCCACCCCCCAAGCCCCTGGAGAAAAGGGTTAAAAGTAAAATAATTTTAATGGAGTGACTCCCTCCTCCCCCCCCCCCCTTTTTTTTTTTGAGACAGAGTCTCGCTCTGTTGCCCAGGCTGGAGTGCAGTGGCGCGATCTCCGCTCACTGCAAGCCCCACCTCCTGGGTTCACGCCATTCTCCTGCCTCAGCCTCCCGCGTAGCTGGGACTACAGGTGCCCGCCACCACGCCTGGCTAATTTTTTGTATTTTTAGTAGAGACGGGGTTTCGCCGGGTTAGCCAGGATGGTCTCGATCTCCTGACCTTGTGATCCACCCGCCTTGGCCTCCCGAAGTGCTGGGATTACAGGCGTGAGCCACCGTGCCTGGCCCTATTTGCTTTTCTTTTAGGTACCATGAATAAGGGTACTTTTACTGAAAGTAAAAAGTATGTCATCATGATGAGTGAGGAGAGAGTATGGGTTTTCACATACTACAGATATTCGGAACTGCAAATCAAGAATCTGAGGATGGAGAAGCCATCCTGTTCATTTCACCACACTATGTTATTGAAAAAAAAAATCACAGTTCTATGGACAATCCTTACTCTTGAAGGGGTTTCTTATAAAATTAAGTACATGAATGTATGAATACCAAAAGGCATTTTCAGAAAACAGATTTTTAGCAGACTTTCACCTATACCTGCAGTCTTTACTTTTCTTTTTTCTCCTTTCCTTTCCTCTCCTCTCCCCTCCCCTTCACTCCCGCCCACCCCCTCCCCTTCCCTCCCCTCCCCTTCCCTCTGTCACTCAAGCTGGAGTGCAGTGGCACAATCTTGGCTCATTTGCAGCCTTGACATCCCACGTTCAAGCGATCCTCCCACCTCAGCCTTCTAAGTAGCTGGGACTACAGGTGCATGCCACCATGCCCAGCTAATTTTTTGTATTTTTGGTAGAGACAGGGTTTCACCATGTTGCCCAGGCTGGTCTCAAACTCCTGAACTCAGGCAATCCGCCTGCCTTGGCCTCCCAAAGCACTGGGATTACAGGCATGAGCTACCACGCCCAGCCATTTGCAGTATTTTCTATACTTTGTTTTTTGGGGAAAGTTATAGTTCATATTCCTAAAGAAATGCTTTTGAATCTAGCTCCATATGCCTCAGGCAGTTGGCATAAAGTTGTCTATAGAGAAGAATCTGGGAAAAAGAGTTTAGAAAGTTAATGGAACACATCAGGTAAATAAAGTACTGATCTCAAAGGTAGTCTGTTCTCTTTGTATAATATTGTTTCCATGTAATTCTTTCTTACACCATTTTCATCTCTTTCTTCACTCCCCAATTCCACAAAATATAAAAACCAAAACAACTTTTGAATGACTGTAGTTTTTTAAACTTCATATTTAGGGGTGTCTGATTTTTTTTTCAACTGAATACTTTTTTTTTTTATTATTATTATACTTTAAGTTCTGGGATACATGTGCAGAACATGCAGTTTTGTTACATAGGTATACACGTGCCATGGTGGTTTGCTGCACCCATTAACGCGTCATCTACGTTAGGTATTTCTCCTAATGCTATCCCTCCCCTAGCCCTCCACCCCCTGACAGGCCCCAGTGTGTGATGTTCCCCTCCCCTGTGATCATGTGTTCTCATTGTTCAACTCCCACTTATGAGTGAGAACATGTGGTGTTTCGTTTTCTGTTCCTGTGTTAGTTTGCTGAGAATGATGGTTTCCAGCTTCATCCATGTCCCTGCAAAGGACATGAACTCATCCTTTTTTTATGGCTACACAGTATTCCATGGTGTATATGTGCCACATTTTCTTTATCCAGTCTATCATTGATGGGCATTTGGGTTGGTTTCAGGGTGTCTGATTTTTTTGCTTAGACCCTGACAACTCATTCTAATCATGATCAGATGACCACCTTATTTACAATTCATTAACCAGATATAATATTAATTGAGCCTTGCTGTAAAATGGGAAATGCTACTCCTTGTGCACACTCCCTCCCTCCCACAAAAGTCTCTTTTACAAGAGAATGGGTTCTAGTTGTAAACTAGTACTTTCTTGCTTTGGTTCTTTTTAAAAGTCCATGGGAAGATAGTTTTGTGCCATTATTTTTACAGGCCATTGGTATGATCATCAAATTGTTTGATGTTTTGATATAGAAGTATAAAATCAGCCTTTGGTGTTGTGAAATGTGTTTATAAGGTCTCTATTGTTTTTACTTTAATTTAATTATAAGACCTTTGGGGTGATGACCTTCTATTCTAAGAACCATATCTGTCAGTGAGCCTCCTGGTTAAGACGCGACTTTTAAATATTTTTTTCACCTCTTCCCTAAAAGTGTTATAGGAAGATTTTGATAATAATGTCTTCATATGGAGAAGCTTAAATTTTGCTGTGTGAAATTTTTTGTTAATAGAAACATCTTTATCAGTATCTTCTTCCAGTCTATTGATGTTCTGCCTGATGGGGAAGAGGTAAGAAGTATTAAAATTCTAGTTTGGCCAGGCGTGGTGGCTCACACCTGTAATCCTAGCACTTTGGGAGGCCGAGGCAGGCGGATCACTTGAGCCCAGGAGTTTGAGACCAGCCTGGACAACATAGCAAGACCCATCTCAATTTTAAAAAAGAAAAACATTATAAAAATAAAATTCTAACTTAGGATAACCCGCAAATCTTTAAAAAGGAAAAAAACTTTGATTCAGATAGACATACGAACAGATAATCTAATTTTTATGTTTAAATTTGTGCTTCGGGATGCAGAGATCTAAAGCCATATAAAGGGAAGTATGAGAAATTCTGGCCGGTTTTTAGTCAAAAGTTAAGTATTTTTCTTGTTTAAAAACTATGGTACATTTCAGATATGCTGAAAGCCAGAAAATAATATAAAAGTGCTCACATATTCACTGCCTGGCATAAAGATGAAAAAAAAAAGAAGTATTATCTAAGTTGCCCAGGAATTACATTTTGACAATCAATGTGAAGTATTAGAAATGAAGCTTACTTAGCCCTTAATATATGATGGGTCACTTACATGCATTATTTCCCCTTATTCTTAGAACAGAATTATTAAAGGGTTCTTATCCCTACCTGTGAAGAAATTAGGTTTCAGAAAGCTCAAATAATATGCCAGTGGTCACACTGCGAGGAAACAGAGTCAAGGATTTGAAGTCTGATTGGTGTTATTCTAAGGCCCATGTGTATTCTTCAGTATATACATGGTGCTACTGCTGCTTTCCCAGAGAGACTTTGATGTATTTGTGGTGTAAGATTTGGATGCCCATTTTTGTCTGGCATATCAAACTTTTCCTTAAAAAACTAATGGCTATGTAATAATATCCAAGGGAGGTATGCTAACCTAATTTATTCAATAACACTTCATTTAACAGATAATTTATAGTGCCTACTAGATGCCCAAGCACTGTTCTAGGCACTTGAAATGTGGCTATGAAGTAGACCATGTTCTGTCCTCATGGAGGTTATATTTTAATATGGAAAAAACAATAAACAGAAAAGTCAAATGTACAGTATTTCGGATGATGATTAAGTGTTAAGGAGAAAAAATAACCTCAGGGAGGGGGAATGTAAAACGATAGTGTTTGGGTAGAAAATTTAGAGAAGTTAACCAGGTGATTTTTGAAAAAAGACCTGAAGGAAGTGATGGGGCTAGATATGTGACTATCTGGAAGAAGGGCAGAACCTATTCAGGAGTGTGCCTGGTGACGAACAGTAAAGTGGCATTGTGGATGGGACAGCATGAATGATGAGAAAAAGTGGTAGGAAGTAAGATGGAGCAGATTGTAGACAATGTAAGATGTTGTCGACAGTGGTAAGGACTTTGACTTTTACTCTGGTTGGATGGCAGTTTTCAGTAGAGAAGGACAAAATGTGATTTAAGTTCAGTTGATCCTTCTGGTTGCTGTGTTGAGAGTAAATTGCAGGGGTTGAGAGCAGTTCTGATGAAGGCTGATGTGGTAATACAGACAAAAGATGATGGTGGGCCAGGCGTGCCTACCATCAGGGTGGCTTATGCTTGTAATCCCAGCACTTAGGGAGGCCAAGGTGGGCGATTCCTTGAGCTCAGGAGTTTAAGACCAACCTGGGCAACATAGTGGGCCCCTGTCTCTACAAAATTTTTTTTTTCAAATTAGCCAGGTGTGGTGGTGCATGCCTGTAGTCCTAGCTACTCAGGAGGTGGAGGCAGGAGGATCACTAGAACCTGGGAAGCTGAGGCTGCAGTGAGCTGGGATCATGCCACTGCATTCCTTCCTGCATGACAGAGT